CGCGTGGTGTTTTCGCCCCCCCCCCCCGGGGGGGGGGGGGGGATTTAAAAGGACCTTTCAGACCAAGTGACCAAAGTCAGTTTCTTGGCCCTCGAATGTGTGCCTCTGCAAGCAGAAAGCAGGACCTCCAACCTCCCTCTTCGCACTTGGATATGGCAGACATGAGCCACAAGTGAAGGAAGGTAATCCAGCAGGGCTCTAAAGCCAAACAAAGACTCTCTAGAGGTTGGCTCAGCCTCCTCCTGCGCCACCCAACAATGTTCTGAACTGGGCAAAGCATGGCAGCTGCAACAGCGGCTCCCCTCAAGTAATTTTCAATCAAGACAGGGACAGGATGCCCTTGACACCCTGTGCAAACAATGGGAATAAATATTACTAGTCTCCAACACGCCACTGGACTATACACTAACATGGCTAACCCATCTGGGATTATTGCCTGCCATGATTCTTCGGAGAACTGCATCTGTAGCCAGGTAACTATTAGCTGTTGAACTTTACCGCAGAGACAGTTTTGCATTTTGTCATTAGCACCCCCAACTGAATGACAGCTACAGCAGCAATGGGGCATTCTTGGGACCTTTCTTCACAATGTGCACCAGTGGAACTGTGTAAGTAATAATGTTGTCACAATCAATAACCAAGATTTTTTAAAAAGCAAGGCTTTATCATGTTAATGAGTTTAAAGAGAAGCAAATTTGGCAACCATTCCCATAGCAAGCTAGTGAAACAGCAACTCTGGTTATCCTAATGGACATCAAAGATTGATCAACTCTAAAGGTAAAGGTAAAGGTTCCCTTCCTCGAAAGCCAGTCGAGTCCGACTCTAGGGTTGTGGTGCTCATCTCCGTTTCAAAGCCGAAGAGCCAGCGCTGTCCGAAGACGTTTCCGTGGTCATGTGGCCGGCATGACTAAACACCAAGGCGCACGGAACGCTGTTACCTTCCCACCGAAGTGGTACCTATTTATCTACTTGCAATTTCTTGCTTTCGAACTGCTGGGTTGGCAGGAGCTGGAACTAGAGACGGGAGCTCACTCCGTCATGCGGCACACTTGGGTCTCGAACTGCTGAACTACTGACCTTCCACAGCCTGCAGTTCAGCGTCTTAACCACTTGAGCCACCGCAGCTCCTTTATCAACTTTATCAACTCTACCAACACTATAATTATATGGCTTAAAAATGTATCTCCAGAGACCTGTTCATGGGGCCTCACAATGCAATAAAATCATAAAAACCACCTCAAAAAGGGCCAATATCAAAAGAAGCCAAGAGCCCACCAGGGGCATAAGAACAACATTCAAAATGACATTCAGCAGACTAAAGTTATAGCCACTGAACAACCCGCAAGCAAGAAACGACCGCGCAGAGTTCAAACCCTTCAGTCCAAAGCCTGACTAAAGAGACGTGTTCTGGCCTGGCACCCAAAGGACAGTGAAGCGGGCACAAGGGAGGCACAGGGCACCACAACAGTGAAGTGCCACAGCTGGAAGGGGGGGGGGAGCCCTGTCTGCCACCTGCTCCCTTCTGCAAGCAGGTTCACAGAGGAGAGGCCTTGGGAAGAAGCTCCCGACGGGCAGAGGCTGCACAGAAGAAGGCGGCCACCCTCCAAGCCTTCCAAGCACCTTAAAAGTGAGAACGAGCGCCCTGGATTCTGCCCGAAAACAAGCGGGCAGTCTTTTGTCACTGACAGCAGGTGGGAGGCCACATTTCGGACCAGCTGACGTCTCTGGACATTGCTCAGAGGCAGCCCCACATCAAACACACGACAGTCCAATAACCTGGATGTGATGGGACCATAGATAGCCAGGACCACATCATCCTTTTTAAGGCTGGTGTATCAGCTGGTGAAGCGAATGAAAGATGCTGCGTGCCACAGAGGTGACCTGAGCCTCCAGCTGGAAGCCAGGGTCCAGCTGCATCCAGGACCAGCTGACTCCTTGAGCAGCATCTCCTTTGACCAACAGCACCTCACTGTTGTCCTCCATTGCGTTTTCCAAGCATTTCTGTGGACTTTCACAGACCCTACTAACTCTTCTGTTAGGGAGAAGCAGAGAAGCCGTTTCCTGTAGGGTTTCCTGTAGGGTTTAAATACACGAATTCCATGGGGCTGGACAGAAGTCCCCAAGCAACCCCTGGAATCTCTGGGTAAGTGTGGAACCCCTGAAGTAAAGTGGCCCCCACCTTGAACTTAGCCAGCCCTCCCAGATAGATACCATCATTCATGGTGCTGAAAGCTGTGAAGAGGTGAAGGAGAATCAACAGGGACACATTCCGTATCACTCTCCCAGCTACCTTCTCACAGAAAGGCAAATATCCCCTGCACCAACATGAATGCCAGCTCAATACTATCAGCCAGGAGAGGCAAGGAGTTGAATCTGGACACAATGGGGCACGTGCGTCTAAGCAACTTGGGACAGGTATCCAATACGACTAGAATCAAATGGCACTCCAGTACCAGAAGGCTGAACTGAACCACCTGTGACATCTACGTCACAGCAGATGAGAAAACACACTGTTTATTGGCAAAACACACTGTAGAAGTCACAGTGAACATGTACATTTTCTGACCCTCCATTCTTGAAGATATAGAATCTTCTCACCATGTTGTAGAAAATCACCAAAACAAAAATAAAAGAACAAAAACTGCTATTAACCTTTCCAAATCTGGGGAATCATATCCAAACGGCTGGCCGCATCCAGTGCTCGGAGAAGACCCAGCATCCCTTCAGAGTTCGGGTACAACATCTAACGGAACAAGTAAGATTTAGGTCTAGCACAGATCTGAAACTGCAGTGTTTAGAACGCATTTAAACATACAGAAGCACACCCATCAAAAGAGATACTTACTGAGGGAACCAGTTCTTTGTACCACTTCAGGGCGACGTCAAGATGTTCCATCATGCACAACAAATGCAGAAACCTTCCACTGTAGCATGGCAAAAAAGACCAAGTTAACAAAAACAAAACAGCACTTGAAAAAGAAAAGTTTAGTTACCCCGAACAACAGCTTCCCTTTCCTCTTTCAGTCCTAGCACCCCTCCCATCAATCTCAGGAGACTAGCTGGCTTCCACAGTGATCAAGATTTGTTCTACCCATTAAAAATGCTTTGATCACAGAAGCAAGCTCCCGGAATTGAGTCCCCAGAACTAACAGTGCTTTGGCTTCCAAGCTAGCAGTACGATCCTGTCTCTGTTAACCAGACTGGTAGTAGCACTGCAACACCGCAAAACAGAACAGAAATCTAGTGCCACCTTGAAGACTAACATTTATTTCAAGACAATCTTTGCGGGTCAGAGCCCACTTTGTCAGATAGATACATGATGGAAAACCATACTGAGGAATGTTTATGGATCAGCTGGGGGGGGGGAGTCAAGACATCTAATCTCTCCTTATATATACCGTATTTTTCGCACCATAAGACGCACTTCCCCCCCCCAAAAAAGTGGGGGGGAAGTGTGTGCGTCTTATGGAGTGAATACTACAGAGAATGTGAAGGGGGAGGGAGGCGGGCTAATAACTTTAGAGGCGCCACAGTGCGCGCGAATGCAACAACTTCTTTTCATGCGCACAACTCCCCCCCCTTCCCGCGCGCCCCTGTGAGCCCTGCCCCCTCCCCGTGGCAGTGCCTGGTCAACCCTTCTAATGTCCTGGCCCCACTGGTGGACCTCCTGGCTACTGTGTGATACAGACTATGATGACGGTTAAAGCAGAAAGTGCCAAAGCAGGATTACAACTGAAAATCAAGAAGACAAAAGGGAGACTGTATCCGAGAAATCAGAAGGAGATTGAGACTGGGGATGGCAGCCATGAAGGAGCTAGGAAGTGTAAGGAAGTGTTACTGGCAACCAAGATCAAATTAATTCATGCCATAGTATTCCCCATCACTATGTATAGGTATGAAAGTTGGACAATGAAGAAAGCTGACAGGAAGAAATTTATTTATTTATTTTTGTATTTATACCCCGCCCTCCCCGCGAACGGGCTCAGTTGAATCTTTTGAAATCTGGTGTTGGAGAAAGTTGATTCTTTTGAAATGTGGTGTTGGAGGAGAGCTTTATGGATACCATGGACCGCCAAAAAGGCAAATCATTGGGTTTTAGATCAAATCAATCCTGAACTCTCCCTAGACGCTAAAATGACTAAACTGAGGCTATCGTACTTTGGTAATGTTATGAGAAGACAAGACTCACTGGAAAAGGCAACAATGCTAGGACAAGAGGAAGACCCAAGATGAGATGGATTGACTCAATCAAGGAAGCCACGGCCCTTAGTTTGCAAGACCTGAGAATGGGTGTTAATGATAGGACGTTTTGGAGGACATTAATTCATAGGTTCTCCATAAGTCAGAAGCAACTTGATGCCATTTAACACACAAACACACCATACATACTTGGCTGTTTCTTCAGGTTTCTACCACACTTTCCTTTGCTCCTCTATTTATTTGTTTGTTTAGAAAATTAAAAATAGTATTAAGATCTCAACCCCTTAATAAAAAGCCTGTTTTGGCCTGACTGTATTACAGAGCTGTCTGTGCAATAGGCTTATTTAAGGGCATAAATGCTAATGTGAGTAATTGAAGATAGACACATCAAAAAGACAATGTTTCTATCTTAAATTAATATTTGGTATGCATAGGGAAATAAACATGGCTCGCTTCCCTCTATTTTCCCCTTCCCTCTGCCGCCCCACCAGCCACAGCCAGGACACTCACCTGGAGCTTCCTTCTAGAGCTCGTTGTATTTCTTCCCACAATGGGCCTTACACCTAGTATTACAATATATGTTAGTTTTTAAGGAGCCACTAGATCTTTGTTTTATTTTGATATAACGAACTAATATGGCTAAGCCTTTGCAAGCAGCATTCTAAACCAACTGAAGCTGCCAGCACTTAAAAGTCACTCAGAGAGAAATAACAAGCAGCAATTACCAATAAGAGGACTGCTGATACATGTCTCCCATCATTTTCCAGTTTTCTCCTGTCTCCACCACTCTGTGTAGCCTATAGGCAAGCTGAACATCCTTTATATCCAAACACTGCAATAAAGGCATAAGCATGCATACATGAAACAAGACATAAAAGCATCATAACATTATTTCAACAGACCACTGAATTTCCAAGACAGTTTTCTGCAGAATGATTCTAAACTGACACAGACTATCTCCATTCCCAGAATTCCAGCAATAAGGAATGGGAGCCATGTTCTCATTGTGCAGACCTATCATCATCATTTGTTTAGAGTATTTCTACGCTACCTCTTCAGAATCTGGTTCAAGATGGCTTACAATGAACAACATCAAGGAACTTCCGGTCTGTGGCTCGGTGATGGCGGAGGCTCTCCCCTAAAGCTGGGGAGGCATTCCACGCTCCAGTGGTGTTGGAGGAGTGCCACCTCAAGTGGCACCCCCAGGTGAGCCTCAGAGTGGAGGCTCCAAGCCGGGGGCGCACGAGGGGCGACCTCTTCGATGGCTTTAAGCCGGAGAATTGAGGCGCTCCTTTTTGCCCCAATCGGTCCACCACCTGAGAGGCTCGGTTTTTACCGAGCATAGCTGATGCCGGCCGGGACAAGCAAGAAGGTCAGCGAATGAGGCGCGACTAAAAGAGGTCTGTGGTCAGACCGTCAATGAAGCGGAGAAAAAGACGAGCGAATAAGTTCTAAGTTCTACCCCCCCACACCTATAGCGGCGTCGGGAGGGAATCCCAGACGTAAACAAACCGAACTGTGTTTTAAAGAGAAGGGGGGGAGGAGAAACGAAAAGCGCTCAAGTGTGCCAAAGACTTAGCTGTTTTTGCGGATAAGTTTGCACTTGCTGAAGGAGAGTGAAAAGCCTCTCTTTAGTGTAAACAAAGCTGAAAATGGCCGGCGTCCGAGGAAGAGGAACGAAAGTTGGGCGAGGCGGTCAAAGTCCGAGGGTAGAAGAAGGAGACGTTTTCTCCACCTTAGCGGAGCTGCTCCGGCCCATAAACGAAAGACTCGATGGTCTTAACCAATTGATGGCTGCTTCGAACCAGAGTATGGCAAAGCAACAACAGCAGATCACCGAACTCGTGAAAAAGTCGATTCAAACTGATGAAAAGCTTAAAGAGACAGCACACGATGCCAAAAAGATGAAGAAGAAAGTTGGTCTGTTGGAGCAAAAGCAAGATCTTCAAGAAAGAAAGCTAATGAATCTACAGATGGAAAAAGCCAATAAAGTTCTCAGGTTCCAAGGGGTAGCTGAAACGGCAGGAGAAAACTTGAAAGAGGTGGCGACAGCTGGGATCAGCAACTATCAGGGTCCTAAAGGACATTCCATTTGAGGTTCGACAGAAAAGAAAAGCATACAAAGAACTAATTTCAACACTCCAGATCAACCAGATTCAGTATGCCTGGCTCTATCCGGAGGGTGTGCAGTTTAAATACAAGGATAAGAGAGAAAAAATTGACTCGGTGTTTAAAGCGGAAGAATGGTTGAAGCAGTTTTTTGGATCGAAAACGGAAGAGCAGCCAGACGGAGGGGGCCCTGCAGACAGCCTGGAAGAGACGGATGGAGACTCAGCAGGAGCAGAAGGAGGCACGGCCAGAGACACGTATGACTTGCGGCTAAGAGTTCTCAAGTAGCTCTTAAGAACTGAAAGATTTATAACTGAAGTGGATGAAAGAGACTCTGTGCACACTGAGAAGAAAATAGACAATTACTAAAATGAACTTACTAACTCCTAAACTCATTGATTTAAACGAAAAGTTTTAAGTTTTATGACTAACTGTATACTAACTGGAAAATACCTTCCTTTCTTGGGTTTTTAGTCATAGTGTGGGTTCTTTGTTTATTGTCTGTATCCCAGGGTTTTTTATTTTTCTTTCCCTTCCCTTTTTCTATTTCTGTAGTCACGTAGGTGTAACAAAAATCAATAAAACTACCCTGTCTTCAGGGGATTAAAAAAACAAAAAAAACAATGAACAACATCAAAATATAAAAACAAGCCGCTGGACATAAGCTGCATAAAAACTGCCATACAACAGAAGCAGAGCATTAAAAGCCTGATAAGATAAAACCCCTAATTAAAAGCAGCTTGGGTAAAAAGATGCGTTTTGCCTGGCAGCTAAAGGAAAGAAAAGTAGGCGGCAGGAGAGCCTGAAGGCGAAGAGCATGCCAGAAAATGCCCTGTGTGTCTAGGCGCTGGTGGCCTTGTCTCTGAAGGCCAGGGGTGCAGAAAGCAGAGCTTGAGAAACAGGCCTGCTAGTAGGGGAGGAGACGGTCCCTCTGACTGATTAGCCTGCAGGAATTATTTAATGATATTGCTTAAATTGGCAAGGAAATGCCTAAATAAAAATCTGGCTGAGATGCAGAAACAAGCAAGGCAGTGCTCTCCCTGTTATCTCATTCTCTAGGGCCAGCAGGACAACACACTTCCCTGTACTAACCCATTTAGTAGGTGAGATTAGAGAGTCAGTTTAATCCAGGACTGCCCTGAGGTGTACTTGTTTGTTGGATGTACATGGGTTTATCTTTAATTTTTTTGTAAGGTGCCTTGTGGATCTTTTTTGAAGACAAAAGGGATATGTATACTTAAAATAGGTAAATAAGAAACTTATAAAGTTACAAGTGGAGACCCGCAAGAAACTTGCGGGATGGTTATCCTATTCCTCACACCTTTGCTTCCTCCTGTCTCCCTCTACCTCTCACACTCTTTCTCCCTTCTGCCCCCCCTTTCTTTCTCTCTCCCCTCCCTGTAATGGTTTGGAAGGTGGAGTCTATGGCATTATACTGGTCTGTAGTTCCTCCCCTCCTCAAATCCCACCCTCCCCTGGCTCCACTCCTCAAATGTCCAGGAATCTCCCAACCTGGAGTTGGCAACACTGGGGATGCCTGGAATTACTGCTCATGATACTACTGAATCATACTACAGAGATAACTTCCCATGGAGAAAATGGATGCTTTGGAGAGTGGACTCTGTGGCATTGTACCTCACTGAGGTCCCTGTCCTCCATAGGTTCCACCCCCAAATCTCCAGGAGTTTCCCAGCCTGTATCTGGCAACCTTACCCCCCATCCCCTGCCGGTGTCCAGGGGGGGACCTGGCGACCCTAAACTGCTGCCAGGCCTAGGGTTGCCAACCTCAATGGTGCCTGGAGGACCCCCCTCCCCCAGAATTACAACTGAACTCAAGACAGCAGAGATCTGTCTCCCTGGAGAAAATGGCTGCTTTGAAGGGTGGACTCTGTGTCATTATACCCAGCTGAGGCCTCTCCCTTCCCAAAACCCAGCCCTCCTTACAGTCCACCTCAAAACCTCTAGGGATTCCCCAGGCTTGCACTGGCAGCCCTTGTCAGGCCTGGCCCAAGGCTCTCTCCCTCCCTCCAAGGCCAAAAGAGGCCAGGAAAGGTCCCTTCCCCTACCTTTTTACTGACAGAGCTAGTTAGAGGCCCTTCTCCCCCCGCCGCCACCCCAAATGTTCTAATCTCTCACCATTGATGTCTGGAGTTAGATCCCTGCAGAAGCCATTTCAAAAGGTATTGGGGGGGATTCAACCCTCCCTGAAGGGATTTTTTTACTTTTTGGATTTTTCTGCAGACACAGGAAATCTGACTATGTAGGAAAAGCTGTTGGGGGAGAGTGAGCCCTCTGTTGGCAGAAATAAGTATCCGCACAGCCCCTCCCCTGTGGGAATTAGATATATAGATATTGTCGAAACGGGAGTGGTCAATCTGGTCCCTATCCATACTGCTGCATTCTGATGCAACTGTCATTTCCAAGTATTGGTTAACCCGAATGTTCTAATCTCTCTCTAACTGTTGAAGCCTGGAGTTAGATCCCTGCAGAGGCCATTTCAAAAGGTATTGGGGGAAATTCAACCCTCCCTGAAGGGATTTTTTTACTTCTTGGATTTTTCTGCAGACACAGGAAGTCTACTGACTATGTAGGAAAAGCTGTTGGGGGAGAGTGAGCTCTCTGCAGAAATAAGTATCCGCACAACCCGCCCCCTGTTGGAATTAGATATATAGATAAGAGAGCCAAATGTCGTGTAGCGGTTAAAGCATTAGACTAGGATCTGAAACATTCAGGTTTGAATTGCCACTTTGCCATGGAAGCTTGCCGGGCATCTTTTAGCCAGTCACACACTTGCAGCCCAGCCTACATCACAGGGTTGTTGTGAAGGTAATAATGGAGGACAGGAGAATGATGTAAGCTGCTTTGAGCCCACTGGACAGAAAGACAAGGAAAGAGAGAGAGAGAGATGGGAAAATACCCTCTTGTTTTAAGTACCTTTGTTCTCAATTATTATTTAGTGAAGGGCATGCAATCATTTTGCAAAGACAAGTTTCACTACGGGCTGCACATCTACAAACTACAACTGTTGAAGGTATAGGATTTTAATTTTGGGAAGGCTTCTATGCTTTTGTCATTTTGCAAAAAATGGAACTGTTTTGGAGAGCATTTTTATAAAGGGTATAGGATAGATGTGTAAAAAGTAAAATGCTCAGCAAAAGGAAATTATTCAAGTGGGCTCTCTTTATAGAAATAATAGTACTGTAGTTTTAATGTCTGAAAAAACAGAGTTTTCTCCATTGGTATTATTTATTAAATTATACTGTTTTTATTTCATTTTTCTCTAGTTTTGTAATCCAGTTTTATTGCACTGTTTGTGTTGTTGTGTGTGTGTGATGCTCATCTCTACTGCACTGTGTCTTCATTCCATTTTCTGTCTCGATTCTCAACATAAGTGAAGTACGTAAATAAGGTGCGGAGGCAGGCTGCTCTGCCCCAGTCCAGCCCCAGTGCTTTGCCTATCTAAGAAGGATTCAAGGACATGCAGTACTACAGTGCTTATTCAACACAGGTTCCAGGCGTACAGGTAGCCACAAATACAAATTCAGAATTAAATTTAAAAATCAAAGAAAATCCACTTACAATTCTCATAGCGTTTGAAAAGAAGTTGTCTGAAATGGAAGACATAACAATTACTGTTAACTTTGGACTCCAAACATTCATCAGGCTAGCGTAGCTGAAATAAAAGTGAAATGCTAGAAAGCCAACTAGCTGGGCAGAGATTATTACTGTGAACTGGGACACAGCCCAACCTGTTTCTCCAGCATGGGAGAACAGACAGACATTCCACCCATACTATCACACCTATAAAACAATTTTTAAATCACTTTCAAATCTCAAGGGCTTGCCAAATAACCTCAGCAACTGATTGTTTGGTAAAGCATTTATAATTTCCTGTTAAAGACCCTTACCCCTCCTCCCAAATTAAAATGCCCAAAGACCCCTGGGAAGAGAGAACTGTTAAACCAGCTTGTATGGCACCCTGAGACCCGGGGGCCCATGAGTGCCTGCTGCCTGAAGCAGCAGAACGAAGTTTGAGTCCGGTGGCATCGTTAAGATCAACAGAGAGTTTTATTCACGGTATAAGCTTTCGTGTGCACACACACGTCCACTGTATCTGAAGAAGTGTGCCTGCCCATGTAAGGTTTTTTATTTTTTTGGTCTTAAAGGTGTCACTGGACTCAAACTTTGTTCTGCTTCTTGAGTGCTATGCGTAACACCCAAAAGGCACTGAATGAGACAGAAAAATACAAGGAGCTTCAGGCCACTCCTGACTCGCTGGTGGACTGAGCTCATATTGGGAAGGAGTAGGGTTGCCAAACCCCCCTGGTTTGCCAGGGGTCCCCCATTTTTGGGGGGGTTCTACCCACCACCAGGGAAGCCCCGTCCCCAACACTCACAGCCACCCATCTCTCTCCCTTTAAGTGTGTGGAACCCGTGTTTCCTCCCAAGCCCGATCTCCGCAAGCTTGCAGGGGAATGCCAGCTTCGTGCTCTTAAAAGGGAAACGCCGGCTCCTGCATTTAAAAGGGAGACGCCGGTTCCTTTAAGTGCAGGGAAATGCAGTTTCTGGAGATCTGGCGCACGGGCGGGTGGGGGGGCGGCGGACGTCCCCAACATGACATCATCACGTTGGGGATGCCCTGCCCCCTCCAGGAACGCCCCCAAAGTCCTCCGCTGGGGGTGGAAGATGGACTTGGCAACCCTAGGAAGGAGCCTCACAGCCGTCCCCCCGGCATGCCCAGAGACTTGGGCTGTTTGGTCGCTCAGATGAGCGGGAGACCTCCCACTAGCAGCTCTCTTCCTCCACCAATGCTTGGTGGACTGGCAGGTGGATATTGCAGGAAGTCCCTCCCTCCCTCCCTCCCTCCCTCCCAGAGACACAGGCCACCTTACACCTTTCGGCTTGACATCACCTCCCTATTGGCCACACAGGGCAGCAGGCCTTCCCCGTGCTCTGGGCTTCAGTTACCAAAGAAGAGACCCAGTTCCTGCTTCCCTTCACCTCCCTGAAGAAGAGGTACTTCAGAAATGCCCAGAAGGCGGAATCACCACCTTTGCATCTGCAGGGAAGGCTCCTCTGTAAGCAGCGTGTCCACTGCAGAACCTCCCCCGGGATCCCGTGGGAACATCCAGCACGGGTAGTTAGCCACAGGAACCCTTTTTGCAGTGGTGACCCATTTTGCCCTTTCCCAGAATCCCGCCTGTGCTTGGAGGCTCAGCAGCAGTGAGTATCTCCTGATCCCAATCCACTCTTCTCGCAGACCCTCCCACTGGCTGGGGCAAGTCACAGTCTTTGTTGCTAAGTTTGAGTCCAGGGGCACCTTAAAGACCAACCAAGTTTAATTCTGGGTATCAGCTTTTGTGTGCATTCACCCCAAATTAAACACCATTGGTCTTATAGGTGCCACTAGGGACTCAAACTTGGCTCCATTGCTTCGGATCAACACAGCAACCCCACCTGAATCCGTCCTTATTACTATCTACCTTAGGCGAACACTGGTGGTGGGGGGTTTTTTTGGGGGGGGGGGAGAGGAGGAGAAGGAGAAAGGGGAGGAAAAGAAGAAGAGTTGGATTTATACCATGCCCTTCACTACCTGGAAGAGTCTCAGAGCAGTTTACAATCTCCTCCCCTTCCTCTCCGCAAAGCAGACACACTGTGAGGTTGGTGGGGCTGAGAGAGCTCTGAGAGAACTGTGACTGACCCAAGGTCGCACCAGCTGGCTTCACGTGGAGGAAGAGTGGGGAATCAAACCCGGTTCTCCAGATTAGAATCCGCCACTCTGAACCACTACGCACAACTGGATAAAAAGCAACGTATTCACAATTACAGACACTTTAGCTAAAAAGCCATTGCATTTTTAAAAGGTAATTTCATGTTGCTATAGGATCAGTTATAGAATTTGCTTCTCTATTAGCACAAGTATTGGGTCTGTCAATGATCAAAAGCATCCCGCTGGCTGCGATGCTAATGTTTTGACTAGTATTTGATTACCTGACCAAATATTTTTTGCCAGTCAAATGAACAACCCCACTCCATTGCCTTTCTCTCTTCCTCGGAATCATCTACAGGACACTTAATTTCCCCTCCAAGCCTGGAGGCAACAGGAAATATTTCAGTCCCGTTGCAGTAAAGTGCAAAAATATTGGAAGATGGTACATAATATCATTTTAGAAATACTAAATTTAGATGTAGTGTTAGCACCTGAAATTTATCTATTGAATATAATTCCGAAGGGTTACATTAAGCAAGATGTATTTATTAGTATACTAGCAGTAAACCCCGTTGTGAATCCAATACAACGGGATCTAGAAAGAGGCTCTGGGGGAGTGCTCTGGCTTTGGGCAAACAGTGTCAATTTGCTGTGTTGACCTCAGCAGGGTATAATGACAGAGTCCACTGTTTTCTCCAGAGGAACTCATCTCTGCTACCTGAAGAGCAGTTGTAATTTTGAGTGATCTGTAGCCCTCACCTGGAGATTGGCAGCAATTGGTACCCAGGATAAAATGGCTGGGTTGGAGGGTGGAGTCTATGGCATTCTACCTGTCTGAGATCCCACCCCTCCGCAAACACCACCCTCTCCAGGCACCACCCCTCAAATCCCCAGGAATTTGTCAGCCTGTAGTTGGCAACCCCATCTCCTTCCCAGCTAACCATCAACCTGCCATTATCTGCCCCTTTGACTTCAGCTGACTTCTGCCCTCCCTTCTGCAGAGCAGTTGTAATTCTGAGTGGTCTCCAGTGAACAATGGTTCCCCATGAGGGACTGACTGGTTTGGAGGGTGGAGTCTATGGCATTGTACCTGTCTGAGGTCCCACCCCTCCTCAAACCTCACCCTCTTCAGGCTCCATCCCTCAAATCTCCAGGAATTTCCCATCGGGAAATATATATATGGCCCCAATGTGTTTTCTCCCAAAGGCCAAAGTAGGTGACAGGACCAAGCTTAGTTGCCTACCAACAGGCACTGAGGGGAATGTAGGGTTGCCAGCTCTAAGGAGGGAAATACCTGGAGGTTTGGGGGGTGGATTCTGTAGAGGGCCGGCCGACGGAGGCCTCGGCCTTCTGTCGCCCGCCTTGCCCCCCCAATCTCGGCCCGGGCGACTGCGTCCCCCGCCAGCGGCCGCCCGACTCCAGACCCCCCCGCGGCCACTCCAGCCAGGCAACGGAGGCATCGGCCTTCCATCGCCTGCCTCGCCCCCACCCCCCCAATCTCGGCCGGGCGACGGAGGCATCGGCCTTCCGTACCTGCACACCATCCTCTGAAGCGCTCTCTGTGGCAGTAATGGGGTGACTGCTGGCACCTTTTCCTATCATTTTTTGCCTTGTGGTATTCAGCTTGTGGTGTGATCTGTTGTCTTTGTGGTGTGGCATGATTGTGTTATTGGGTTTGTTTCTTTTGAAGGGGAAGTGATGTGAGTGAGGACATATTTTACCTCAGAATACAGTAGGGTGGGGAGTATGGCATTGTATCTGTCTATGCAACTGAAAATGCCAACTGCCTTGCCGGGGGGGGGGGGTTTGAGGTGTGGAATGGAGTGAAGTCCAATCAGCTTCCATATGCAAAAGACCTTGAAATGCTGGGCGGGACTGCACAAAGCAGCCAGTCAACCCAGCCAGCGTCTTCTGACTGACAGTTCTTCCGGCCTAACACTAAAGGGGCCAAATTTAGAACGTTCAATATAGAACGTTGCTATTCAATTATAATAAGGGAGAGATATCATAACTGCTGCGAGAATACTAGTGGCTAAAAGTTGGAAAACGGATAAAACTCCCTCGAAAGAGGATCCAATAACTAAACTCCTTGAGTTAGCACAAATGGATAATTTGAGTTTAATACTGCAGGATAAAGACCAAAAAATACACAACAAAAGATGGTTCAGGGTTTATAACTGGATAAAACATGTAAAAATAGAATAAGAAAAATAAAAGTGGAAGGAGGTAATAAATGATATAAGACATGTAACCTGATGCAATGACTCTAAAAATTTGTGTAATTGAAGATAATGAAATGTTTGTAATTAAGTTGAAATTATGGAAAATAAACGTTGGGGGGGGGAGGGGAAGGAAATATGTCAGTCCCATCAGAGCCCATCCTTCTGAAGCTGAGCTGCACCCTGGAAAGCAGGCGTGGGCACACGCACTCCCCAAGCTCTTCGTATCTTTGCTGGAACAATGTCTCAAGCTCCTTGCTTGCCACTTAGTCTGCACCCAGCTGGAGTGAACTCTCTGACTGCTTGTGGATTCCCTCAGACTCCCCGCCATACATCATTCTGACCAAACGGCTTATTGACCTCCTGCCTTGCTGGTCCACACTGTGGACTCCAGTCGAAGGGGGGAGGGACACACAACACACACTTCTGAAACTTTTAACCGCTTCTGAAGCCCCTCAGACATAAATGTACCACGTGGTTAGATGAGGGCAATGACAGCCCCATATGCTGCTGGCAGGCCTTCTTGCACAGCACCAACATCTACCAGGGCTGAGTTCAAGAGGGGCACCACGCTCACGGAACGGAGGACTCCCGGTGTCTTTTGGGCTCACGGGCTCCCTCTCCTTGCTCCCCAAGGGCAGCTAGTTAAAATTTAATATTTCTGGATTAGCACAGTTGGTCGTAACATTTGAACCCCAAACTATGGTTTGCTTCCCTTCAGAACAGAACACCAAAGTAAGCTTTAGTTTGGAAGGGGGGAATGCCCCAAGCATAGTTCGTTGTTTGAGAATAATGAGAAATTATGGTTTGCTGCAGATCTGGAAGTCTTTCACCACCTGGCTGTTGGGGGAGGGGGCAATAACGAGCCACCGTTTATCATGAAGTCTGAAGTAACCCATTAACTCAGGCTTCAGAGAGCCATCTTCTTTCAATGGCCCCAAAACACCAATCCCAAGGAACATTAGCAAATCTAGTATCTTGTCATGCACTTTTAGCTCACTGTACTTGAACTTGCTGTAGCTGGTATCTGTGTCTGGGTTACATTGGTCCCTATGTGTTATTCAAAAAAAACCAAAAAATCAATACAAGATAAAATAAAAAATACTTACCATCAGCTGGGTCCTGGGGGTGAAAGTTCTTTCCTTCAATTTCATCCATTACTTCATAGATAATATCTGTTGGGCCGCTAGCAGATATGGCTGCAGAACAATACATGCACCACTGTTGGTTGGTGGCAAGCACTGCTGCATATCACAGCAGGTCCTATTTACACATTGCTAGCATTTTCTTTACAAACATGATTCTTATTTAATCCTTTCAAGGATAACTGATTTAGCCTTTTCTTTACAAACATGATTCTTATTTAATCCTTTCAAGGATAACTGATTTTAAATAAAGTTCTTAAAATATAACATTGAGTGACCATTGGCTAGGACATAAGGTTTTCACCAAGACCTGGAATAAATAAACTTAAGAAAAGTAGTACCCAATCATTCTTCAAACAAACTTGTGTGGTTTAGTGGTTAATGTGCTGGTTTAAACACTCAGTGGGACTTCGGTTTCCACATGCCTGTTTGAAGTACTGCCCCCTCCAAGGACAGAAGTAACTTTGTGGCACCACAGCTCTGCAGAAGGGCATTACAATATCACCCTTTCCTCTTATAAACCCAAGCATGGATGCTCTCCAGTGGTTTCTGTGATGGGATGTTGTGAAGATGCTGCCAGTTCTTTCTTGTTCTGTTTTTCACCACCATTGAGATATCCACTTACA